CTTATGTCATCTCGCCGACTTTGAAGCCTTGGTCAAACCTGTTGAGGCTGCGGGGGTACCCCAACCACACAAAAACACAGGAGCATGAGGCCTGTGGGTTTGGATATGTGGTCGTCCGTTGTGATGGGAAAACGAAAGCTCCGGTAGTGTATAGGGGTCCCGACGCGGCTGAAAAGTTTCTAAAGTGTTTGCAGGAGGAAGAAAAAATTATTAGGAATGCACTGTATACAGTCGTTCCCATGCGTATGACCAAAGCCGATCGGCTAGCCCATGCCTGTAGCACTAACTGCCACGTGTGTGACTCACCACTGAACGGTGATTCGGTGAGAGATCACTGCCACGTCACCGGTAAGTATAGAGGCGCCGCTCACAGCGCGTGCAACCTCAAGCTCAGAATCACCCACAAGACAATAAACATCCCTGTGGTCTTTCACAACTTGAGAGGGTATGACTCTCACTTGATCATGCAGGCCATCGCGAAAGTCACCGGCAACCTGACGTGCATCCCCAACAACATGGAGAGATACATTTCCTTCAGCTTGAATGTCTTGAGGTTCATCAACTCGGTTCAGTTCCTCCTGTCGTCACTCGACAGTCTGGTCAAGGCCAACGATACCTTCCCCATCACCGATCGATACACCGGCGCCGAGACTCGACCCCTGCTGATGAGGAAGGGTGTGTACCCCTACGAGTACATGGATGGCTGGGCCAAGTTCGCCGAGACCAGACTACCCCCCATCAGAGAATTTTACAGCAACCTGACCGACTCGGCAATATCCCAAGACGATTACTCGCACGCTATTAACGTATGGAATAAACTGGGCTGTAAGAATCTGGGTGACTATCACGACCTGTACTTGAGGACAGATGTGCTGCTGTTAGCCGACGTGTCTGTCGTGGGATGCCTTGCTGAAAAAAGACCGGAGTTAAGTTGGAATTGCTCAGAGATTACGACATGCACCTATTCATTGAGAAAGGCTTGCGAGGCGGGATTTCCATGGCAACCAAACGATATGCGAAAGCAAATAATCAATACGTGAAGGGCTACGACCCAAGCAAGCCAACCACTCATATTCTCTACCTCGATGCCAACAACCTGTACGGTTGGGCCATGAGCCAGTATCTACCCAAAGGGGGATTCGAATGGGCATCGCACGAGGTCGATGTTATGAGCATCGCGGACGATTCTAACAAAGGTTATATCCTCGAGGTGGACTTAGAATACCCCAAGGCATTACACACATCGCACAACAGCTACCCCCTGGCCCCCCGAACGTATGAGGGTTAACCCAGACTGGATATCTGAGTACCAACATAACTTGTTAGGTGGGCGGGTGACAGACGTTGAAAAACTCATGCCCAACTTAATGAATAAGACCAAGTACATCGTTCACTATCGCAACCTACAGCTGTACCTGTCGTTGGGTATGAGGCTGACCAAAATACACAAGGTCCTCGTGTTCAACCAGAGCCCCTGGATGGAGCCATACATCAGAATGAACACAGACCTCCGAAAGCTTGCCACCAGTGAACAACTCGGTGTTTGGTAAGACTATGGAGAACCTGAGGAAACGCGTGACCGTGAAGCTGGTTCGGTCGAATGAGGAAGACAAGCTCAGGAGACTGATAGCCAGCCCGGCATTCAACCGTAGCAAGATATTCACCGACGACCTGGTTGCCCTACACATGAAAAAGTCACATAAAATTCAACCGGCCTGTTTACGTGGGGATGAGCATCCTCGATTTATCCAAACACCTGATGTACGACTTTTACTACAACAAGCTGAAGAAACAGTACGACGACAGGTGTGAAGTGCTGTACACTGACACGGATTCCCTGCTGATGGAGATTCGAACCGAGGGGCGTGTATGAGGACATGAAAAACGCCGATTTGTATGACACCAGCGACTACCCAAGGACCATGCCATACACAGCACGGTAAATAAAAAGGTCCTAGGCAAGATGAAGGACGAGTGTGCTGCTGGCGCCCATAGCCGAGTACATAGGCTTGAGGCCTAAGATGTACTCCATCCTGAAGGCCGACAATGGTGAGATCCGGAAGGCGAAGGGTGTTAAGAAGTATGTGGTGAAACAACACATCAAACACGCCAGATTCAAGGGAAGCCCTGTTCAAGACCCGTACCTTTAGACATAAAATGAACACGCTTAGAAGTGATGGGCATAGGATATATGGACTGACGATAAACAAAGGCGTCCCTGTCGCCAATGGACCTGGCGTTGGATAGCTATTGATGGGATCAACACGCATGCGCGATGCGGGCATGAAAAATTGAACCAAGAACATAGGTGTATATGTAATTACCATACTCTGTCGGGGCGACGACGATGTCACGGAACCAGAGAAAGTTTGAGGCTATTTACTACAGCCCGCGTGGGTACTGGAAAGGAGTTAGCGCCGTACATAAGCTGGCTAAAATGGCGCGAGTACCCCCGGAGGAGTCCAAAGCGTGGCTTGAAAAACAAGCCCTGTGGCAGATCTATTTACCGGCACCAAGCTACGTGCCTAGAAGGAAATTCAGCGTTAACATACCCAATAGCTTTCACCAGGCCGACCTCCTATTCCTACCCCACGATAAGAGGTACAAGTATGCCTTAACCGTCGTGGACGTGGCCAGTCGCTACAAGGAAGCCGAACCCTTGACCACGAAAAGACTTCGGCCCAGGTAGCCCGCAGGATTGAACGCATATACAAACGCCAGTCCACTGACGTGGCCAACAGAGCTGCAAGTTGACCCCGGGCGAGAGTTCATGGGGGCCATGTCACACCTGCTGGATAAACACGATACCAAGGTCAGGCGTGGCACGGTCGGAGCCCATCGCAGCCAAGCCATAGTTGAGAGATTCAATAGGACTTTGGCCGAACGCTTATTCGGACATCAGCATGCGAGAGAGATGGCCAACCCGGGAAAACGATCGACTGAATGGGTAGCTCGGTTACCTCAGGTGGCGTCGGCCTGAAACCACGAAACCACCTGTCTCACAGGCAAGAAACCAACAGACGCTATCAAACTAAAATCAATAGTGGCAGAGTCGGCTGCTCCATTGCGTGGGAAGGAGAAACAGATATCAGATAGGGCCCTAGTGAGGTACCTATACCAGCCGGGGGAACACGAGGGTGATAGCCGTAAGGGAGCCGCTGACCCAATATGGTCAGTCAAAACTTACAACATAGATAAAGTGGACATCAAAGCAGACGAGCCGAACTTGTACTACTTGAGAGATGGGCCAGGGAGAGCTTTTGTTAGAGAGGAATTATTGATCGTACCGTACGGTACAATGTTACCTCCTGCCAACGTGGCATAGCGGTACAGTAGTGCCACGTGTGGGCGGGAAATTAACGGGGGCTCAAAAGTAGTAGATATACTGGTGGCGAGATCTAAGGGCCTGACAAAAGCTTTATTTGTGAAAAAAGGCTTTGCAGAGGCTTTTGTTGGACTTGATCCCGTACCGCTATTATATATACTACTACATGCATTGTGAGTTCACATGTCAATGTGTCATCACCTAATCCATATTGTAGCCATACATTGTGAGTATGACATCACCTAATCCATATTGTAGCCATACATTGTGAGTTCACATATGGCATCACCTAATCAATTGTAGCCATACATTGTGAGTTCACATATGACATCACCTAATCCATATTGTAGCCATACATTGTGAGTATGACATCACCCAATCCATATTGTAGCCATACATTGTGAATTCACATATGGCATCACCTAATCCATATTGTAGCCATACATTGTGAATTCACATATGGCATCACCTAATCAATATTGTAGCCATACATCGTGAGTTCACACATGTCATCACCTAATCCATATTGTAGCCATACATTGTGAGTTCACATATGTCATCACCTAATCCATATTGTAGCCATACATTGTGAGTATGACATCACCTAATCCATATTGTAGCCATACATTGTGAATTCACATATGGCATCACCTAATCAATTGTAGCCATACATTGTGAGTTCACATATGGCATCACCTAATCCATATTGTAGCCATACATCGTGAGTTCACACATGTCATCACCTAATCCATATTGTAGCCATACATTGTGAGTTCACATATGTCATCACCTAATCCATATTGTAGCCATACATTGTGAGTATGACATCACCTAATCCATATTGTAGCCATACATTGTGAATTCACATATGGCATCACCTAATCAATTGTAGCCATACATTGTGAGTATGACATCACCTAATCCATATTGTAGCCATACATTGTGAATTCACATATGGCATCACCTAATCCATATTGTAGCCATACATTGTGAGTATGACATCACCTAATCCATATTGTAGCCATACATTGTGAATTCACACATGTCATCACCTAATCCATATTGTAGCCATACATTGTGAGTTCACATATGTCATCACCTAATCCATATTGTAGCCATACATTGTGAGTATGACATCACCTAATCCATACTGTAGCCATACATTGTGAATTCACATATGGCATCACCTAATCAATTGTAGCCATACATTGTGAGTTCACATATGTCATAACCTAATCCATATTGTAGCCTTACATTGTGAGTTCACATATGACATCATCTAATCCATATTGTAGCCATACATTGTGAGTTCACATATGGCATCACCTAATCCATATTGTAGCCATACATTGTGAGTTCACATAAGTCATCACCTAATCCATATTGTAGCCATACATTGTGAGTTCACATATGTCATCACCTAATCCATATTGTAGCCATACATTGTGAGTTCACATATGTCATCACCTAATCAATATTGTAGCCATACATTGTGAGTTCACATATGTCAACACCTACTCCTTATTGAGGCACATGCATAGCAACAAAATATACATTAAAATACACAACAATCATTTGTTCTACCAGTTGTCTCTAGTTATGATGTGAAACAACAATATTGTTTCCTAACAGAAACACATAACTGCGGAAACATTTTTTCTGAATAACAGCTTACCCTTTGTATTAATTGTAGCTGCCGACTTGCTGGAACGAGTGTCCCAGATGCGGACTGTCTTGTCCCCGCTAGCTGTGACGAGGAGTTCTGGATTGCGTGGATGCCAACACAGTTGATCCACGCTGTCACCATGGCCACGGAAAATATGATCCTTACTCTGGAAAAAACAGTAAATAGGATTACTATTTGGATTCGATATTTGAGTGCTGTTCTGTGTTTAAACATCATATTTTATCTGTTTGAAAAATGTTACATCATTTACATTCCTGATTTCCTAGTCAAATCTTGGAAAAGGCTTTCAGTGTGATAAATTTTGTTTTATAAACTCTGAGAGTTAAAGGATGTTTTTACTTGTATGAACAATCGAATCTAATATGATCGAATCAAGGGTCCAATATTGAAAATCGAATTGAATCGACGTCTGGATGAATCGTTGCAGCCCTAGTGTTTATAGGAGTATACCACGAGTGACTTATTACAGCTTATCAGGTAGCATGGTAATATTGAATGCTCAGTCAAACCATTGTTACAAATTAAGTTTTTAGTTTGTAAAGGGAGCAGGGAACCTATTTTAAACAGGCAAAAGCTGGATGGACAAAGCTTGGTAATTTGTAAACATAAAATTGAGTCAAGAATACTGCTTTACTGCTTAAAGCAACAACAATTTTAGCTTCATGACATTAATTTAAAAGCTTAATGATTGGATTTTGAAACCATTTAACTGGGGGTTTATCCTCATTCAGTTATGACAAAGTGACAGACTATTTATTATTTCCATGGTAATACATTTTGTTGATTCAAGAGGTATTAGTTCAGTCTAAAGTGTTAAATAGTTTCAATGGTTAAATTCAGGGATCAGCAATGATCAGTCATAAACATGATAAAAGAGTAAATGTTTGTGTTCCTTTCCTTGAATTTACTTGAAACATGGTTTTCGCCATAACAGTTCAATAACTCTTCATTATGAGCATAATGAGACAATATAATCTTCTAGGACAGATTCCTTGAAAGCAGTATTCATCATGTTCAAATGTTGCTCACTGGAGGAAAGAAAATGATCTTTGCAAATTTAGTTTTAATGCACAAAAACCACCAGTGATGATGTTATTAATTATAATCATGATAATTTTCAAGCATTGTGTCATTGCTGACATATTTTCATAAATTTACAGTAAAAATGTACTGCCTTGCCTGCATTAGATATGTGCAAGCGACTTTATGATAGTAAACTCTCCAGGGTCTAGATTTTCGAAGCTCTCTTAGAGCTAAGATAGTCGTAAGTTAATGTTAATGAATGGCACTTACGACTATCTTAACGCTAACAGAGCTTCGAAAATCTGGGCCATTGAGCTACAGATAAGCTGTACATTGGCATAAAATACATTTAGAGTAAAATTAATATACTAGATTACAAATGTAATTCCAGATATGCAAAGAACATATTTTGTTATGCAATAGTGTAACAAGGAGATTTTCTTGCATAATTCAATATGGATATGTTGACACTCTATTTCCGAAAACTGATAACAATGAGCAGATGTATGAACGTTGGTGGTTCGGCTTATGTACTGGATATACCATTTTGATACTGATTTTAAGGATCAAGCTAAGACCTCGGATTATCTGTGGCAGGCATCACTGGCTGGTGTTACACCCAGTAAACTGCATTCTACCCATAGGTGGCAGACAAAATCTATGGTCGCACAGGGTCGGGTGGTCAGTCTTGGTTCATATAATCATATTCCAATCGATAGATCGATACTCATGTCAGTCGCTTGATTATCTGGTCCAGTCTTCATTATATACAGACAGCTGTCACACAGATTAAATATTACGAGTGTGAAGTAAAACAAGGACCATAAACAAAACAAAAAATCAGGTTTAGAATAGACCTAATGGACCCAAAATAACGAATTTGAATACCAGTGCCAGAGGTGGGAATATCGTAGCCGAGAGCCGCGATGCGGTCCTACAGTCAAAACATGAGTCTTTACTGTAGGCTAGCTAATACTGTAGGACCGCATAGCGGCACTCGGTTCGGAATATTATAGGGTTTGTCTCACCAATCTATCGCGATCCAGTGAGTAAGTGCTGACTGTTTTGTCAAAAGACCCAGATGCTAACTTCCGGCCGTCACAGCTCCAAGCCACTGAGTGAACTTTGGCTGAATGAGCTTGTATATCGCGTATTCTGTTATTGTTTTGAAAATGTTTCAGCATGCTCTCCATTTGCGACGCCATTTTGAAAAAAGCGCCGTCTGGTACATTCTTGAGAGTGACCTACCCTTGATGGACTCGGCACCAAGCTCCTTTCCCAGTGCGTGACACCTTACGTTCCCTTCATGAAGGCGCCATCGATGTGTGGAGCTTGCAATCGGCGTGTATCGCAGTTTTTCGGATCATACCCCGAATGTCGATATGATTTGTTTCATGAAAGTTTGGCAGGTGAAATAGAAATGTGCTCCATGTCAACCGGGCACAGTCTTCGATCATGTAGAGAAATAAATAGCATTGACTATTCCAACAAGCGAGAAAATCTCACTGAAGCCGTCAAGGTTTGGGGAGATTCTTTGGGGTGCTATTGATTGAATGCGAACGATGTACATTAATTGCATATGTGGTGGGATCTAGCGATTAACTGTGGTTTAATTGAAATCTTTATAGGAACGGCATAAAACTACCTCAATACACATCAATTATTTGTTGTTGGGAGATTTATCTTCTTCGCCATTATTTTTGCTTGCAGTTATTTCAAAGCATAAAAAATTATTTTCGGATTACCTATACGTACGATTTAGGATTACGAATTTACGGTCATTCATCACCGTCTGGAGTGAGGGTTGATAGGGACCAGAGAGAAAAACACGACAGTCTCGTGGGGACGGCCGTTATGAACAAATAAGTAGACATTTATCCGACATTAAGTGTTTTTGCGCACGCACGCACTCGGTATTTGTTTCTATCCAAATTATATATATCCAGAGTCTTAACGTCAATTTAATATGAAAACAGTGTCAAGTTGTGAATATATCCTGTTTATCTGTTAGTGTTGCGGGTTTGTTAAATGCTTTGTCGTATTTGATGTACCGAGCGACCCGTTACACATGCATAGACCTTGTGCTGCATTATCCACCAGGTAACTACACTTGATTCCTTTGGCTGAATAAACATGTCTATGGTAAACAGGGATCTATGAACATGTTGATCAGTTACTAATTTACTTATCATTAATATTCACCTGATTTATTTAAGCATGTCGTTTCACATAAAGGGCGAAACATATGGATGTCAACTACTGTATATGAGGAACACACCGTTTCGGAGTATATCCTTACCCCTTACTCATCACCTGATGAAGTAGTTAGAATATACTCCGAAAAGCCGTGTCCTCAAATGACAGAAGTTGACATCCATACAGTTTCATGCCATTTTGCCAAAGCTTAAATTTTGTACTTTGTGCTTGATCCAACTTTCGACTATCCACGACTCCAACTGGGCTGAGAGCATCTGTAACAGAGTCATATTTGATAAACGACGTAGCCCCATAACTCCCCCAACTAAAGATGATATGACAAAAAATATAAGAACAACAGTTTAGTATAATATATGTAACTTGAAAAGATGAATGACTTTAAGGGTTATCTGTGAAATTTGTAATCATGCTTACAGGGGATATTCATAAAGACATATTGACCTATGCCACACGAATGAACCACAACATGGAATTTCAACTAATTATGGTTCCTTATCCTGCATTCTGACGAGGCTTATTGAGGCAAGAGACTGATGGCCGGCTGTTCGACAGGCCGGTCCCTACTATGCACACAGCTATATGCAGTGGGAAGATGATCGATTATACACGAGCTCCGAATATTTTACATAAAATAGTGTTATCGAGTGCTGCTAGTGGGTGGTAACGAGCCGGTTCTGCGTTCAGGACAAACGCATTAAGAGCAGAGTTTGGCCCCAGAAGCCGATTGTTTCATTTATATCGCTAACTATATATCGGAGATAACCCCTCCTTTTGGTTTAGTTGTTACCTGACATGCCATGGCCAAGTGTTCAATACACAAAGATATATTTGGAGTTTGCTGTAGAGGGAGGTGCGTCTGTATCTGTTTGACTTCATGGGACGTGGTGAGAAGAACTTGTAAATCTCGGAGAGGTGATCTTCCTCGGAGAGCAAAGAAAGGACACTGCGACGAAACATACTTGTCAGCGGTGAACACAGCGGTGTTAATCAACACACACTCCCTTACCATTTTGAAAACCAAGTATACCAACGGTTTAATAGAAACGTCACTCTTGGTCACCCTATAAGATAATGATTTCGAAAAGTGTATTCATTTTCACCAGTATCTGAGACTATATATGGTCCCTGCCAGTATAGATTCTAAGTTAGACTGGTTTCCCACCAACAAATACTGATCGTAAGTGAGTGAGTTGTTTTTTCGCCGCTTCTGAGCAATAGTCGAGCAATGTCACTGGACATCTGAAATGGGAACCACACATTGTACCTTGTGAACCATCGACATGACGAGCGAACACTTCACCCACTGGACCATCGTCATAAGAGATAACCAGAAGGACAAGGTTCTGTAACCTGGTTAAGAATGTACACGGACTGCGGGGATCGTTGCCCGCAACAATGATCGCTTCATTGTCGACAGGCCGCTCTATTATTGCTGAATGTGACGTTAACAACAAACAAGTCAATAACGCGCCATGGGACTTGGGGTGGTACTTTATGAAATACCCCGTCTAGATTCTCACTCTTTTAGCTGGGTATAGTTATGAATATGGAGACACACAGCTGATCGGTAACCAGATTAATGCATGGGGGTGCTATAACTTATGGGTCATGTACCAAACATGGTATGAGGTTAGCGGAGCGTGGTATATTACTTCTAATCGGTTGACTGTGCCAATATTGTGCCTATCTTGAGCCTCGTCCTTTCAATTAGAGTTTCAAGACAAAGTGCACCATTATTTATTACATGCCAGATATCCTTTACGTGAATACTGACCGCAGCCACAAATCGATGTGCCTGATAGTTACAACGTACACTGACTTTAATAACATGATATATGCATTACTAAATATCTGGTAATTGAAAACTGCTTGATTATAATAGCTTGTTTCTATGATGTACCCAGAGTGTTTGTGAAGACAAGTCAACAACCGCTTGATGTTTTCCTAGTCATACTGGCCAGACTACCAGAGTTTCCAACACCGCGGAGACCGTGACCTGACATCATCAAATAGTAATATAGTCTTACTAATCATCCTTAATAGGTACGGGCGGAAAAACACAAATAGAAAGCCGATATAATGGTGATTAATAAGCCCTGTGTGGTTATTGATCCAAAGTGAATATTTGATGGCCTATTAACCCTTGGTGAAACGTGGATCGATAAACCTGCTGTAGCCTTCCTACGCTGGCAGCCTATGCAGTTTAACCCAACACTGCAAGCTGCAAACTATTATTGAATAATTGTATACTCAGGTTACTAAATTGTTTTGTTTTACGTCAATATACAATGTGACAAACACTGTTAAATGAAATAATACATGTCTTTGTAACATATAACTGGGCTTGTTTATTCCGTGTGTCTGGATAATGCTCGGGACGATCTGAGCCCCCGGACACTTTATCGTACATCTGTTCGAAGTCGTCCTGCAGGGTGTTTGACGGACTCAGCAGTAAAAGTGGTTTTGGTGGGCACTATTGCTGTTATTTCTACTGCCAGCAACATGCATTGCTGCTGCCATCGTTATGCCATTGCATTCATCGATTAACATGTGACCATTTCTATTCACTTTAACATAAGATAACAAGGGACTCGCTTACAAAGGGAACGTGCAGCGATATAGGTGGTGATATTTTCAAAAGTATAGGGGCGGTGGGGTAGCCTAGTGGTAAAAGCGTTGGCTCGTCACGCCTAAGACCCGGGTTCGAATCCCCACATGGGTACAATGTGTGAAGCCCATTTCCGGTGTCCCCCGCCGTGATGTTGCTGTAATATTGCTAACAGCGGCGTAAAACCAAAACTCAGTCAGCAGTCAAAAGTAAAGCTCGTGGAGAGAAAGTATTCAGTACTGCAGTGTTCTATGAATATACAGTTTACATGTTCTTATATTGCCGAGAAAGTGTCACAAAACGGATTTAGCTATAGTGTCTCTGATAGAGTTAATACCGATGACCTTTGACATTTGCATGATCAACGCTACGAGTAATGGCAGACTCGAAGCTGGTGAATCACAACCATCAACGGCAAGATATTTCAATTTTTCGTCAAGCCCAGTTTCTTCACCTACATCGGCGACAATGCACCAGTAGTGGTCGTCTAAGACCAGGAAGACCCGACACCACAACATCAGCAGACAATCGCTACAAGGATGGCAACATACTTCGCAAAGTCTGGTTTACGACCTCCATCTGCACAAACTGTCCGTAACCCTGTTTACGAGCTGCCGACATCGAGAAGGCTCAACGTAATCGTCTTATGTGACTGCGACAGCAGAGCCACAGAACCTACAGCAACTTCATGTCAAGCTCTGAGGACGTGTGGGCTGAAATTCCATAAGGTGTCTCAAGCGAGTCCGTATACCGTAGGGCTTCGTAATGGAACGACGTGGAACGCACGTGGAACTGTATAACCATTTACACAAATGATCAGTACGATCATGGAAATAGCTGTTAAATGTCATCAATAAATATATTTGTTTATCTATCTAATGGACGATCAACAGGTATAGACTGTGTAAGTAGTGTAAACTCGGTGTAATAGTGTGGAGACAAAGGCGACGTCCAGTTCTATTGTGGCAAAGATAAACGTGAACGATTTGGTGAAAGTACAAGTTTTAAAAACATGCATCGTTTCGTGGCAGATGCTGTATAATATGAATATATGAACTTGACAAAATCATTGCAACTGATATCAACATCGGAGGAATAACCCATGAACTAACACATCTCCATGTACAGTTTCCCACCTATATTATTTCCTGACAGTCCCAGGGTTAGGAGAGAGACGCGACAAGGCAAGACCTGCCTATCGTTGCGGTTAGTTAGTCACATATTCAATCCTGATCTCCAGATTATCGTGCTTTGGTCGGTCCACCCTTTTATCAAACAGCGACCTTGCAAATGAGATTAGTGATTAGTCAGACCGGGGTGTAATGTTGTATGGACGTGAGTAGTCACACTAGGGATGTGACACACTCACAAACACTAACGTTATTCGGGGTCCAGGAACGTCGTATCAGCGGATACATTGTTGAAGTTGAAGAAACAATGGATCTTCTTTCACAATATGGATGTAATTCGGCGCGGAAACGATCGCCATGGCAGACTCTGGCACTAGCTTCTAAAACAGCTAGAGTGTGGAAGAGCAGGAAGACATTTACACTTATTGAAGTTGATAATTCACCCGAACCTTATGGTAAATATACACGTATACAGTCATCACTTTATATACGTTGCACCTCTTGGTCGTGCTCTTAATTGCTCGTCCCACATACCAGCATACTGTATGATGAATGGTTTATGTATACTGAGCGATCTAGTGACTGATTTGTACATTTGCTGCCAACCCTTCAACTCGTATACTCCCAAGTATCTTTCAGAGCTATATGCACGTCCCTTATGTCATGTCGATGCTATATCGTTTACTCTTATTTCTGATTAATGATAAGGTTTATCATTGATGCATGATTAATGCTGATAAATGATCAGGGTTATTTGATATCAGGAGGCAAGGGGTGTAAACACAGAGGAAAATGGCCCTTATGTGGTATACTAGAACGTGTGACACCATGTATGTGCAAATCATTCGTAACAGTACGGTCTCAAAGCAACTACTAAGAATGAAATTAGTTCCCATTAGCTAGGGCCCCAAGCTCTAAAACTCGTGTGAATACAAGGTGGTATCAGCCATGTGATATTCGGCTCTAAAACTGTATTCTGACCTGGACCAATTTAAGCAGCCCAACAGCCAACAGTTGGAGGGTCAGCCTGACTATACCAGTCACGTGACGTGATATAACTGACTCCTATAGTCGATATGCAGCTATATCAGGCGATCACCAATTGCCATCATTAAATTGTACTTGTATTATCGCCTCAACATTACGTGTATATATAATTGATAGAATACGTGAAGGCCTTATCCTAGCTGAGATACATGAAAAATAGCTAGAACATCATGTTCGTGTGTGTCTCTGTCCAATTAATACACTGCAGAACCGACATGATAAACTGAAACACTGAAATGTCAATGGGTGCTGGAGAATATATTCAATGTCATTTTCAATTCGGAGCTTAATTATAGTGAGTGAGTGAGTTTAGTTTTACGCCGCACTTAGCAATATTCCGGCTATATGGCGGCGGTCTGTAAATAATAGTCTGGACCAGTGATCAACAGCTTATGTATAGAGTCCAAGCACGTCGGTAGATAGCAATATGGTCACCCGGTATGGTAAAGCGATAAGACAGATAGAAATTGACAAACAGAAACCTTACACGTTGACTTTTGTATACTTTTGTATCAACACACCGATAGTTAGTTACGCGTGGCCATGCAGCTGCAATAAGTGTACCCTTTCTATCACCAGAACAGTTGGAAAATCTCCGCAGGTACAAACGTTTATTATGTTCTTCAGCCTGCTGACTTGTTTGAACACTTCTTACTCAGAACTGTCTTCTGGAATATGTTCGCACAAACAGGATCACTTCAAGTATTTCAATAAAAAGGGACAGTTGAACCATTATTTTGCACATTAATATCTGACAGAAACATACACACTATTGTCAAATAATATCCTGACTTTTTAGACATGCATATGGGATTAAGACCAACGCAAAAATTAACGGTCGGTTTAAAAATGTAAAATATATTGTGGAGAGATATATGCCGGTTACTTTAGGGACCGTTCATAATTTATGACTAGGGTGTGTGTGTGTGCGTGCGTGCGTGCGTGATGATGATTTTAAGAGGGGGTGGGGTGGTCACCCATTTTTTTCTGGGGAGGTGGGGTGGGATGGGGAGGTAATTAATTTGTACATAAGCACTAGGGGGTAGGGGGTCAGATATTTTGTACATAATGATATTAAACATGTATGCTTAAAAATTATGGGAAGGGGAGGGTCATTGATTTTGTACATGACATGCAGAGGGCTCACTTAGTTTGTACATAAATCTTTAAGGGGTGGGTGTGTGGGGTAATGTCAGCACATTGTACATGCTTCTCCATAAACATCATCATCTCCCCATCTCCTTCTCTCTCTCCTCCCCCCGGGGGCCATATGAACGGTCCCTTTTGTATAGTTGAAAATAAGGTGAACGTCCGAGGCTGTGGCGGCAGCAAATACAGCGGAGAAAACTGAAACAAACTATAGAATATTCATTGACATCTAAAAATACCCTACAAGTCGTGTGTTGACAGCTTCGAGACGGAAATAGTGGAGCTCAGTCAACCGATGACTGTAAAGTGGTAGAGCACTGTATGTTTAGTGCACAGTTCCAGGGATACCAGCTATGTATCAAACTACAGATGCAGGAGATGACACAGGTAAATGACAGTTGTCGTTTGTATACACTAGATCTACATGTCTCCAATTGGAAACTACGTCAACTGCTCAGGTGTCAGTATCGCGATAGATTGAAGAAGTCGCCATGAACTTACTATGGACTTTAAGTAGATCTAGAATATTATATTGTGTGGTAGATAATGTCTTACGTTGAAATTCTTACTTTTGAAAATGGTTGAAATTCAATGTTATTCGTGTAGAAAGTAGTCAGTAAACACCATGAGTGATAGGGGACATATCGTTGCACATAGGTAAAAAATGTTAAGCTTTTTTGATTAAAAAAAATATATATTCACGTTATTATTGTGAAAGGAAAATTCTGTTTCAGCTCATTTTTAAATGAATGTTATAATAAACTGAAGCGTGTAACTATGTTACTGGTTTATCAATATTAGATTACATTATACCACATTAAAGAGGCTTATACACACTTAACACATTTGTGTAGGAATTAGTGTGTAGAGAAAATGGAGTTTGTATGATGCATGTTTAACAAAGCTGTCAGCAATATTGATTCAAGATGACTGCAGTCTGTAATAAGCAAGCCTTGACAGAGAAACCAGTGGATGATACGATGAACAATGTCCCATCATGCTATTGCTGGCTGTTGGCAGATTACCTGGCCTGACCACCAGGGCACCTAGCTGTTCCACAAAGTTTAGTGGTGAAATAATGGCAGTTCAGTTATAAGATCTATAAATGGAGGTTCAAGATATCTGTAATGTTAAATAAGAATAGTAGAAGTTATATATATAAGTAGAAGCAGATATGAAAATACGAGTTGTATAATCAAGTAAATCATGTAGCAAAATTCCTAAATTTGTTTGTTGATATAGTTTTGTATCAAGTGACATTAGACTGAAACTGAGTTCATGTCTTGCATCACTGTATTCTGAAAACAAACTGCCAAAAACAGTATTATGTTTAATATATTGATTTAACAATTGATGAGATCATCTTATAATCATTAGAGAATATCACTGAAAAATAGAAATATGGTCTCGAAGTCCTGAATAAATGTAACTTCTTAAAAGTTGTTTTAATTTTGCATATCTCATTTTGATATATACTAGTAACCGACAAAATCAGGTACCAAACATTGTTTTGTTACAGTTCAATTCACTGAATAAGCATGTGAATCATAACAGCTCTAGTATATAGCACATATCTTTTGTTCTAAGCTATGCAGTATATATCAAGTTTGGTTCAGTATATGATGGTAAAAATACATTCAATAAAATTACAAAGAAATTATCCGACTGTATGGTACGGAATGTGAAGCGCCTCATATAAACAATGGCTGTTATGATTCATTGTTTGCTGATACATTTGACCAAGATTATTTCAATTTGCAGTATTTTCATTTTGAGGTACATAAACTACTTTATGTATTTATAAAACAGAGCATTTATGCATATCATGTATTATTCAATGATACATAAATCCCACTTGGTAAATAGTTATTGCAAGTTAGATGTGGGGATGTCACTATAAAGCTGTCAAGTCCAAAGGGTTCCATATCAGCCTTGAGAATGAGAGGATTAATATGTTATTTTTGTGTTGTTTCCTTGTTGCTCAACACTGCACTCAGCAATATTTTTAAAATAATAATTCTTTATTGCCCGACAAAGGAATTCGTTTTACAACAGTGAGACATACAGCATGGTTAAAACTAGTGATGGTCCGATTACCACCACTAGTAATTGTAATAATCGATGATTGGTCGCAATGACTAAACGACCAAGCAATCGATCATGTTTTCTCATAATCCAACACAAACAATTTTGGAAGTTATGGAACACTTATTTGCATTAACAATATTCTTTCACAAGGTTGGCTTTGTCTGTTACATTTCATTAGCACTACAAGCTTGTACGAAGTCATTATTGAATGTATCTTATAGACTCCACAAAGTATATATTCCTAACATACCAGACATCATTGGAGCATGTAAGATTTGCAAATGCATTTTGTGCAATTTGCAGAAACCCCCCCGAAAGAACTACATTTTTTTCCCTTTTTTTTTGGTACGCATTAACAAACATAACCAGGAAAATTTGATAAATGACGCTTACCAATTATTTTCGATGATTGATCGGTTGTATTGAACCAATCATCAATTATTATATTTTAACCAATTCCCAACACTAGTTAAAACAAATTAAGCACAGAAACACAATCACCTTAAAACACACAAATAAAAAGGATGAGAAGAATAACAAGTGTATACTGTAAGAGACTAGTAGACAAATGCATTTAAGATTATGGCTATGTCCAACATTCATTTAAAAGTTTAATGCTAACAGGTATAAATGATGTTTGTGACCTTTTTGTGCGAACTTTAGGGACGAGGAATCTACGTCCAGATGGTAAAAGTTTAAAACAAGAATGTAAATCATGAGACGGGTCGGATAAAACTTTGCTGTTGTTATTAGGTAATAGACATACTGTAGATATACTGACAAAGTGTTTATACTGAATAAACACGTAGCATATATATAATTCAAAGAAATTGTTGATTTTGAATGTTGATGTTTGTTGTCTTAATAGAGACAAGAACATCTATAAGGTCAATGTCCGCTAAATCAGCACATGAAACATGGGCTTGATGACAACCTTTGAAATAACATAAAAAAACAGTGGAGTGACTTACTCTGACTAATATTTCATGATTCATGATGATTGAGGCATGGACCCTTCAGAGAAAGAACACAGGGCTGTCATTACTATAGTGTTGCATCTTATGTCCATCTCAGGAGGATTCTGCTGCAATAATGCATACAAACTTACATATGTTTTAGGTTTCTTTTGTAGTAGTGATTGCAACCTGTATTCATATGAGGAGGTTTCTATTGCAGTAATGCTTGCAACTTACACTTATCTCAGGAGATGTGTATTGTGATAATGTGTGCAACATATACTCGTGTAAGGCTTTCTGTTGCATGAATGTTTGCATTTTAGAATGTTTCTTTGGCAATAATGCTGGTAACTTATGCCAGACAAACAATGTATGACTGATGGAACGGCACAAACCAAACAATGGATGACAGTAAAAAAACCAACTTGGAGTGTACACAGACTCTTATCAAGATAATCTTGGCCATGCTATACTGTCTTCAGCATATTGAACAGATCTGCCATCTCAGCTCTTCTAGTGCAACAAAGACATTTGTTCTGTAAATGATACTTTCCAGGCTTGATTATTCAAACAGTCATCCTGGGGCTTGACTCATCACTGGAGAAACTTCAAAAGGTGCCAATGACTACAGCACACATTCTGTCCAGAACAGCGAACTTGTCAACATTTACCAACCCATATAAGCCACAAAGATGTCTTTGATCCAACTGTCTGTTCCACAATATATATTGTATGGCTACGGATCTTTCAGCACAACTTGCTGTCATCTGTACAATAATCTTTTGTTCATGTGAGACTTTCTGAAAAGTGTGAAGTCTTTTAGATGACAACACACCTTTCATGCCCAGACCTTACATCAGGTAAAGGTGGAGAGACTGTTCTGGGGCACTGTGTCACTTCAACTCTACATCTCTGTACAAGCCTTTCATGTGAGTGCCTATGAGAAGCCTGGCTGGCTTGTTTTTGTTTAACTGTAGTGCTCAGAGCATGCTCTGTGAATGTAGGCAACCATTCACGTCTACATGGCTAAGATTAGTGACGTAATTGTAATGTTTCTTATTAGTATTAACCCTTTTGTACCAAAGTTACTCTCCAAACCAGTTGCCAAAAGGTCTCCCTCTGTCAGGATCTAAAACTGGCAACCCTATTAAAAAATTTGAAGGTTCTGGAATTAAGGACTAATGGTACATAATTCAAACTTAATTAATTCACTGAACGTGCCAAGCTGCTAGGTGGAACTGTGGTCAGATGATGCCAGAACACTCATCCTGATCATCGACTTCAGTGGTTTCCAGAAGGCTCCTCCTCAAATGACTGACTTTAAAAGACTTAAGTCTGTGAATGTCTCCACCTGGTTGTCTCCCATTGCTGTACCATCCAACAGTATATTTCTGTTATTGTCATTAGTATTATTACTATTATTTCAGGAGGTTTCTATGACATTATTGCTTGTAACCATTCATCTTTCTATCCCTCAAACAAGATGGTGCTCACATATTCTGATACGGCCAGATATCTGATATGTCATAGAGGACATTAAGATTCTTTTGTTGAATCCTCTGTGACCCTTTAACATGATAATGATTGATATTTGTTTGTATGTAAGCAGCTGCAGAATAAGGATATCACCTTGTACGTGCAGCACTGTCATGGGTAGTGATTATTTTATTAGAAATATAAGTTTGTATGTGTAGATACAGTGAAGGAGTTATGAATACACAATGCCATTTGGAAGCTGTGGTGTTGAGGCTATGGTGGCTGAGTCGGTTAGGCGGCTGACTTTGTGTGCTGGCAATTAGGTGCCTGACTCTAAGGGTGTGGGTTCGAATCCCAGATGGAGTCAACCCAACAAAAGTACTAGAATCTGTACTTTTCTGAGAAAGTGTAATCCCAAATATAATATGTGTAACAGTTGTTGATATTATCAATCTCTGGTACTTCACGAAATGGCTCAGTACTAGCAGTAGATGGAAACATTTAATATAGGGGTGATAATATTGCCCCAAAATGTAATATTGTTACATACATATTTGAAAAAGAACTGTATATATAGGGAAACTGAGTAATTGTAAAGCCAGAATAAGTTTGGAACCATTAGGCTGATGTATGGGGATGTTAAAAATGCATAAGGGGAACAAATATTAGCATTGTTGGTGGGATGAAGGCTGAGACGTTGTGATGTATGGGGTGATTAATTAGATTGTTGGTTGGCAGAGGAAATTAATGGCTTGTTAAATGAGAAGTTTTGTGTAGATGTTGGAGAAGACGATCAGTTACTTTGATCCCAATCCCATGCTGTTTGTTGATGTCTAGCAGATAATATGAATATTGTTTTTGGTGTGGGATGGATATAAAATTTGATTTGTGATGAGACATCTTTGATAAAGATTGTTTAGAACTTTTTACTGTGCGCTTTATCAGCTGAAAATGTATCTTTATTTAATAGCGCTTGAACTGTATAGTTTGAGATGCTGGAGATGATACAGTGGGCACAAGTTGACATTAGGGTTAAGAAGCTTCAGGTTCACGCAGTTGTTTCAGCACTGACTAGCTGTGTTATGATTTGCTAGATCACTGTTTGTATTTTGTACAATTTTGATAGAAGCGACAAAACCCTTTGCACATCTATAAGAAATACGTTTGGATGTTGACCACTTTTATCTTGTTGTCATGTAAAGGTTTTCCTGATTCTACAAATATGTAAAGTTAGTGAGTGGTTGGTGAGCAGACTGACATTTGGGTTGTGTGGGTTTAATATTGGTACTTGAAACTAAACTGAAAACTAAACTTCCTGATTTTTAACAAGAGGTATTTTAGTATCATATATTGTCTAATGCTATGTCTAAGGCTGTTTTTGAATGTTGAGTGCAGAATGTAGTTCATGTCCATTAAAACTGGTGTTGTAAGATAGGTGAGTGTTGGCTGGTTTAGGTTCATGTGGAATTTAACTGAATCTTGAAGGTTTGTTGTGTGATTGGTGGGGGCTGCTGTTATTGTGTGCATCAAACTCACGGAGCAGAAATGGTCACACAAACTATAGAAAGCAGACACTGTCCCCATAATAATCATGGTTCAAATTTGCCACATGTGAAAGGAGACCAAATGAATCTACTCATCCAGTGGTTAAGCTCCTCAGCACTTGGTTGCACATGACTCTTGGACCTTGCAATTCCTCTGTGCCAGGGTGACGGGGTCAATCTTAATTTTTGATATTTCAGTGAAAGGTTGTCAAACTCGCTGAGCAATAACTCTTGTTGATTTTCATCATCCACAGTAACACATATTGCAGTATATGTAAATAAGTCATCTAAAAGGTGATGGATACCTAAGGGTTATTGGCATGTTTCAAATTTGTAGAACTCAGCAAGAGGTAGCCTGTGAGTATGTTCAGTGTATCTCTGTCAGTGATTTTCAGACTTTGGAACAGGTTCTGAAGAAACAAATGTTAATGGTGTAAAAGGGCATCTAAGGTCAACAAAACAAGTTAATGATTGATTAATCAGAAATCAGGCTGCTGTTGGCCAGAAAAGTTCAAGTTACTGACCACGGCATTAGAAATCATGTACATGCAGCTTTGTTTTGTCAGCTACCATATGTTGTACAACTATGTAACAATCCAGTACGTTCTGGCCAGACACTAATGGTGCTTAGGGCCTAGAAAATGGGGTATTTTACTCATAGTTTTGGGTAATGTATTCAGATGAGTCCAGAATCACTGTAGACTTTCTGGATAGGCATGTTTAAGTGTGTATGTATGAAGACTGACTACCTCTAGCAGGACAATGTAACCAGAATGCCAAGGCAAATCACCGAGTCCTGAAACCTTTCCACCATGGAGCATGTGTGGGACTATTCATCAGACGATGTATATGCCAACACCCAAAGTCACTGTATGAGCCTGAACTAGGCCTATGCTGCAAGGGGAATGGATGAGATTCCCTCAAAATATCACAGTAGATTGACTCAGACCATGCACAGATAATAACAAATGTTTAACCAATGGTAGAGGCATATCCCTTATTATATTAGTCATTTCATAAGTTAATATTGATGCTGCACATCCCCGTTGCCTCTCCTGGTTGTTCGGAGCCATATGTGCCCCTGATGTCATGTTTACACCAAGTCCTTCATTTTGTTCACCTATCCATTGTCATCACACTAACAGAATCAGTAGACAGAGGTATATAGAAATGCTAGTGATAAACAAACCCCAAAACCATGGTTTCTTGAACACTCATATTCTTAGACATGAAGAAAATGGTATTTCTTTAAATGTGTACTTTATGGATTGTCCAGATTTGCTGTGTGTGTTTCAGTTCTGTCTAAGCCTGCACCTCCGGTTGTGGGGAAGGTGACGCACCACACAATAGAGCTGTACTGGGACGATGCATATGATGCTGCTGTGCTGGCTGGGTGTGGCCAGGGAGGCAAGATACGAACTTGTATCCAGGAACTGGACAGACACAGTCAGTGGGGAAATATATACACGTATGTACCAGTCATTTAGTCGGGAAATATATACTTGTATGTACCAGTGATGTCAGTGGAGAAATATATACATGTATGTACCAGTGATGTCAGTGGAGAAATATATGCACGTATGTACCAGTGATGTCAGTGGGGAAATATATACATGAACCGGTATGTACCAGTGATGTCAGTGGAGAAATATATACACATATGTACCAGTGATGTCATTGGGGAAATATATACACATATGTACCAGTGATGTCAGTGGGGAAATATATACTCGTATGTACCAGTGATGTCAGTGGGAAAATATATACACATATGTACCAGTGATGTCAGTGGGGAAATATATACACATATGTACCAGTGATGTTAGTGGGGAAATATGTACTCATATGTACCAGTGATGTCAGTGGGGAAATATATACACGTATGTACCAGTGATGTCAGTGGGGAAATATATACACATATGTACCAGTGATGTCAGTGGGGAAATATATACTCGTATGTACCAGTGATGTCAGTGGGGAAATATATACATGTATTGCCAGTGATGTCAGTGGGGAAATAAAAGCACGTATGTACCAGTGATGTGAGTGGGGAAATATATACACGCATGTACCAGTGATGTCAGTGGAGAAATATATACATGTATGTACAAGTGATGTCAGTGGGGAAATATATACATGTATGTTCAAGTGATGTCAGTGGGGAAATATATACACGTATGTACCAGTGATGTCAGTGGGGAAATATATACATGTATGTACCAGTGATGTATGTAGACAGTGTCAGTGGGTTAATGTATGTAGAGAGTGTCAGTGGGTTAATGTATGTATACATATATGTATGTAGACAGTGTCAGTGGGTTAATGTATGTATACATATATGTATGTAGACAGTGTCAGTGGGTTAATGTATGTATACATATATGTATGTGGAGAGTGTCAGTGGGTTAATGTATGTAGAGAGTGTCAGTGGGTTAATGTATGTATACATATATGTATGTAGACAGTGTCTGTGGGTTAATGCATGTATACATATATGTATGTAGACAGTGTCAGTGGGTTAATGTATGTATACATATATGTATGTAGACAGTGTCAGTGGGTTAATGTATGTAGACAGTGTCAGTGGGTTAATGTATGTATACATATATGTATGTGGAGAGTGTCTGTGGGTTAATGTATGTAGAGAGTGTCAGTGGGTTAATGTATGTATGCACATATATGTATGTAGACAGTGTCAGTGGGTTTGTTTATATCTACACAGATAGAACAGGCATTTACAGAGAGTGTCAATGGAGAATGTGTTGTCACATATGTTTAGAGAGACCAGTCAGATAGATGAAGCAAGCCTGACTGCAGATGAACTATTGATTCTAATGAGTATACATCTCCTGTCTTCTTGTCATGTCAGTAGTGTACTTGTACCCTTAATTAGTACAAACCTTAAGTGAGGTGAGGTGAAATTGGGTTTAACGTTGTGCTTGAGAATATTTCGCTCATATGACGACGTACAAACCTTAAGTAGAGCTGGCCAGGAAATAGAGCTGTCAACCTGTCCCTCATATTCACTACACAGTACGCAAACAAGATACAATGTTTTTTCGCTATCTGTACATATGCACGGATCTGTCAGATAAATAGATTTTGTTTGTTCTCAGAGGGAAGTTCATTACATTAACGAAATTGGATTACAGAATTAAGCCATTAACTAAACTGAGGTAAGTAGTGATTGCACTGTGGAGCAGTGCCTCAGACTGGTTTGGGTACTTATAGGTCACGTTACCAATTAATAGATACACTTTCCAATCAGGCCTTGTCTAGGTCCCTAGCAACTGTTGCTAGTGTGGCACATGGAGGCATGGAGAAACTTGGCACATATGTTTAACGTCTAGCTATGCCTTTGACTCAAGTCTGTAATTACTACCTAAATACCAATTTCAAACAAGTGTGGAGTTCTACATCTTGGTCTGTTATCAGATTGGGAATGTATTCTCATGTAAGCAATCAGAATCTACTGATTTTAGTGCTTTTTATCCCCCCTGTAATCCCCATCGGCTGTCTGTCCGTCCGTCCGTCCGTCCACCATTCCGTCCATCTGTCCGTAATCATTTTGTTTCCGGAGCATAACTCAAAATCCATTCAATATTTTTCAACAAAACTTGGTGCCTTTTGCTATTTACAGATTTTTGTCATTTTTAATTTTCTCGGTTTCCATGGAAATGATCCCAAAAGGGAGGGGTGGGCTTCGTTTCCTGAGCATAACTCAAGAACAGTTCAATATTTTTCAACAAAACTTGGTAGATATATCAAACAGAACCCGAAGTGGTGGCTTTTGCTATTTGCAGATTTTTGGCATTTTTATTTTTCCCGATTCCCATGGAAACGATTCAGACCTAGGCCCAAAAGGGAGGGGTGGGTTTCGTTTCTGGAGCACAACTCGAAAACTTCTTAATATCTTTCAGCAAAACTTGGCAGACATGTGAGGCAGATACCAAAGTGGTGCCTTTTGCTATTTGCAAATTTTTGTGATTTAATATTTTCTCGGTTTCCATGGAAACGATCAGACTTATTTAAAAAAATAGTCAAGCTGGATTTTAAGTAACTGTCAGATGATTTGTTCTATCAAATATGTGGGGGCCGGGGGGATATGTCGTCTTCTGATGACTCTTGTTAAGAATTGGCAGTATTCTCTATACACCAAACTATTGTATTTATTTATATCCCCTGTTGGTAGCCGACATATTTATGGGATATCACACAAGCTTCAATTTAATATCTAGGTAAAAACATTTATTAAGGGAAGAAGCAAGTGTAGTATTGTTCTCCACTAGGTGTAAACTTTGGATCAAGAGTGGTCTGTGATGGATGAGCTGAGGTAGCCAGAGTGGTCTGTGGTAGATGAGCTGAAGTAGACAGAGTGGTCTGTTGTAGATGAGCTGAAGTAGACATAGTGGTCTGTTGTAGATGAGCTGAGGTAGACAGAGTGGTCTGTTGTAGATGAGCTGAGGTAGACAGAGTGGTCTGTTGTAGATGAGCTGAGGTAGACAGAGTGGTCTGTTGTAGATGAGCTGAGGTGGACATAGTGGTCTGTTGTAGATGAGCTGACGTAAACAGTGGTCTGTGGTAGATGAGCTGAGGTAGACATAGTGGTCTGTGGTAGATGAGCTGAGGTATACAGTGGTCTGTGGTAGATGAGCTGAGGTAGACATAGTGATCTGTTGTAGATGAGCTGAGGTAGACAGAGGTCTGTGGTAGATGAGCTGAGGTAGACAGAGTGGTCTGTGATAGATGAGCTGAGGTAGACAGTGGTCTGTGATAGATGAGCTGAAGTAGACATAGTGGTCTGTTGTAGATGAGCTGAGGTAGACAGAGTGGTCTGTTGTAGATGAGCTGAGGTAGACAGTGGTCTGTGGTAGATCTGCTGAGGTAGACAGTGGTCTGTGGTAGATCTGCTGAGGTAGACAGAGTGGTCTGTGGTAGATCTGCTGAGGTAGAGTGGTCTGTTATAGATGAGCTGAGGTAGACAGTGGTCGGTGGTAGATGAGCTGAGGTAGACAGTTGTCTGTGGTAGATCTGCTGAGGTAGACAGCGGTCTGTGGTAGATCTGCTGAGGTAGACAGAGTGGTCTGTGGTAGATGAGCTGAGGTAGACAGTTGTCTGTGGTAGATCTGCTGAGGTAGACAGTGGTCTGTGGTAGATCTGCTGAGGTAGACAGAGTGGTCTGTGGTAGATCTGCTGAGGTAGACAGAGTGGTCTGTTATAGATGAGCTGAGGTAGACAGAGTGGTCGGTGGTAGATGAGCTGAGGTAGACAGAGTGGTCGGTGGTAGATGAGCTGAGGTAGACAGAATGGTCTATGGTAGATGAGCTGAGGTAGACATAGTGGTCGGATGTAGATGAGCTGAGGTAGACAGAATGGTCTATGGTAGATGAGCTGAGGTAGACATAGTGGTCGGATGTAGATGAGCTGAGGTAGACAGAATGGTCTATGGTAGATCAGCTGGATCGTCCGCTCATCTAGTGCGGGCTGTGAATGAGACAGGCAATCACAGGCACTTAAACTTATATTGGCAAATACTGACAGTCACTTGTCCCATTTGATCTGGTAATAATTGCATTTGACATACCTGAATGGAGAACATTATTGCTGAGCAACTGGGAGTTGTATGAATTCCCCCATAAATCTTCTCAGTTGTACACAATGCAGGACCCATTGTGCTGGTCATTCCACTCATACACAGCCAGCACTGACCTCACTCACCTTGTTCTACACAGCTGCTTAGTGTATTGTCATGTTCAACGTGCACCTGTCTGTATTGTAGTGGATATTGAAATATGTATTACATACCATTTAAACTTATGCCATTCACTGATTGAAATTCATGCTGAAAAAGGCCAGGTTTTGTGGACTGTGTTTAGTTTGTTATTGTAAAGTATAATCCTGATCATACACTGTGAATCCATACTAGAGAACCCATGCTTTCATGTCAAGTAGGTTCTCCACATATAGGGTGTTCCAAGAGGTTTCCATTGAAACACCAGTTTTACCACAGAAATCAGTATCAGTATCAGTATCAAACTGTGAAATCAGGAAATGACTACAAGAGATCAATAAATAATCAATAAATTACAACACACAGTTTGGAATAGAAATGGCTATTGAATGGACCGAGCGGCAGCATGAATGGCAGCACAATTGAGTAACAGGCTCCAGAACTCATGTAAGTTGACTCTCAAATATCCATCAGTCACTGTTGAATGTCTTGATACAAGCGTAGCTCCATTCTGTTGGATTTTATTTGAACATATTTCATTCACAAGGAAATACGCACAAGATCAAACAACTTATAGCAGTCTCCAAAATAGTGTTGGAATCAGTGTTTTATTAAGCTCTCCTGACCAGACTTGGCATGTAAAAAAACCCAAAACACTATTCAAGTGCAAAAAGTCCTCAAACTTTCATAATTACAACTTCTAAACAGACCAAGTGTGCCATGTCCATACAAGAACA